GTTTGTTTGGGGCACTTTCTTCCCTTTTTTTCTCATGTTGTTTGTGTGTCTTCCTTTCTAGCACTGCATTAATGTTTTTACCCTATATGCTTAAAGTGCCCCTGCAGGTTCCAGTAATGCTCCTTTGAGGGGAAGAACAATATTAACAGATCCCACTACAAACAATATACAACCTTAAAACAAATAGTTGCTATTAAGATGTTTACAGTTTGGTCACAATATACAGAAATAGCAAGTTTAATTATTATCTACAATATAAACAGTAGGTTTGCAAAAGGGTTTACAGTTTCTGATGATGGACAAAGAAGAGGAGGTGGGGTGTAGGATGAGATGTTGAGGAGTTAGAAAGCGAAGATAGAGTTATCACATCTTAGGAAGTGTGAAAGAGAAATCTAAAGAAGATGGTTATTAGCAGGAGAAAAGAGAGAAAATTATTTTGGATAGACAAGTGGGAAGACAGTAGAATACATAAAACACACATAAATATTAAGGAAAAATAAAAAGTGTAAAAATAGGAGAAAAGAGACTATACAAGACAACTGTAATATACTATTCCAACATCCAAGTCCTCAGTATCCTAATTCGTGTAAAGTACTTTGTTTCACTTATGTTGGGGATGTGAGGGCGGGAGAATAGAGAGGGGGAAAGGAAAAAAAAAAAAAAAACCTTGAATGTTTTGTGAATGTTTTGGTTGGAGATCAGTATCTTTCCTGCTTCCCTTCTCATTCAATAGGTGGGGTTGTCTGATATTTGCTTCTCTCAGGATGGTGAAGGTTACCAGGGTGGGTGGGTTGGTCTTGGGTGCAGGGCACCTGCTGATCCCAGTTGAGAGGCTGTACCTCTAGGATCTCACTTGTGTGATGTGGGTGCCTGGTCTTATTTCCTTATTTGCCTGAAGACCTCATAGTTCCTGGTCTCTAAATTAGTCTCTAAACTGTATGTCACTCACACTCTCCCTTTCTACTTCCTAATCGGGGACCTTTTTCTCTGGAGGCCTTGGGGGTTGTGCTCTGGGGGCTGCACACCTGTCTTAGAGAACTGTTTAGTATTGGGCAGTCACTGTGCTGGGTTAGTGGCTGCCAGGGAGAGGAGAGGAGTTGGGGATTTTAGGTACCTGTCTAGCTGGTGTTCCAATCTGGGAGTTGCCTCAACTAAAGATGGCAACAAAGGTGACCCAAGATTGAAGCTGCTTTCAGCTTTGGGGAGTTGGATCCAGTGGTGGTTGGGCAGATGGCATTGGATGGTGTGTTCAGAGATGCAGCTTTGTGGTGTGTGATATTGTGGCCATCAGCTGTCTTTAAAGCCTGTGGGATGTCGCCAAGTGCAGGCAGGCTACCACGCATAGGGAGTATGGCAGTGGCTGCAGAGTCCATAGATGGGGTGACTAGGAGAGCCCCAAGTTGGTAGATGGGGGTCCACACAGGAGTGTTGGCCAGAGTTCCTGCGCATGGGCAGCAGCCAGATGTCCTGAGTGGGATTGGCATCTGGGATTCCTGTGTAGGTGGATGGCCTGTGTGGGTGCTGATGCTGGTGACCCCGCTTCGGGCACCAGGGAGCCCTGCATGGGCGAGTAGTCAGGGGTCCTGCTCTGACGCTGAGGCCTGAAGCTCTGTGCAGCACAGGGGCCATGATTCCTGCATGGGAGCAGCTGGGGGGGGGGGTCCTCTATCATGCTAGTGAAGCAGTATTCCCACTACTTGAATCACGGGTCACAGAGTGACACAGAATGCTGCCTCCTCCTAGCCCACCATCTTGGATTTCCTTACGTAGTCATCTTGATCAAAGATATAAGCTTGAATATTTATATTTATCCTTTCACACTTAAAAGATATAACCCTGGGATGGGGCTAGGGGTCCTGTAGGGATCACATCTGTCTTTTTCATCTTTATATTCCAAGCACCTGTCATAGGGCCTAGCACATAGTAGATACACAAGAAACAATGTTTGTTGAATGGTGAAGTATAAAATATAGTCAAATGGTCTGAATAGTTAACATCATATGTGTATTTATATTTACTGTCTCAGAACAGTTACACATTAGTGAGGCCCTAAGCAACTTAGTGAGACCCTGTCTCAAAATTAAAAAAATAGAAAAAGAGCTGGGGATATGCCCCTGACTTCAATCTCCAGTAAAATAAATGAATGAATGAATAAATAAATAAAATAAAAGCTGCACATCAGTGGAGAATTTAGGAAGATAAAAAACAAAAATAAAAATAAAAGATCCTAACCCTTACCTGACTCCTGTTGAAAAATGAACCCATATATTATCTCTTTCCGAACAAGAAAGGAGTATTGATCTCACTTGTTTCTGTTCTTGAAACTAGAAACACCCCTCTTTCTATGAGGTGCTCTGTCTTTTGAAAACAGAATAAATTTAAACTGAACAGATGAGAACTACTGATTCAGATTTAAGAGATTTCAGGTGTATTTTCAACTTAGTATTTTAAAACAGGGATCTGTATCTGGGCTTCTGTGGTTCAGAGAGCAAGAGGAAATGATGGACAATGGTGTCAATCATCTTTTGCTGCATAACAGACTATCCTAAAGCATGGTGACTAAAAGCAAAAGTCATTTATTTAGTGCAAGGTTCTGTAGGTGAGCAATTTGGGCTGGGTGCACTGGGTAAATCTGCTGGCACAGCTGATCTTGACTCCACTTGCTCACCTGTTGGCTGACAGCTGCCAGGTGAACTGGGGGTTTGATAATCTGAGATGGCTCTGTTGGGATGGTTTATCTCTGCCCCATGTGGTCTTTCACGTTCCCCCAGCTAGCCCACTCACAGAGAGAGTGAGAAGAAATATCTATGTTTCTTTCTAGCTCTAAAGTTTAAAGTCCAAACTCAATATACATATGGTGTCGCTTACACTCCATTGTATTGGCTAAAGCAAGTTGAGGATGGACTCTCTCAGTGGGGGGAGTTTCAAAGTATTGTGGTTATTTTTACAATCTACTTGTGGCAACAAAATGTGAAGGGAAAGGTTTTGTAACTTTTATTAGATTCTCAGAATATGACCTCTGAAGTTAAAATATTTCAGATTTATTTCACTCCTGAACTACAATAGCAAAAATGTTTAAAACATTGCTTGGGTGAGCTGGGACTGTGGCTCAGTGGTAGCGCACTTTGCCTGGCATATGTGAGGCACTGGGTTCGATTCTCAGCATCCCATGTAAATTAATAAAATAAAGGTCTATCAACAACTAAAACAAATATTAAAAAAAACAACAACAACAAATATTGCTTTGTGTATGACAATGAGATTCTTGCCAATTCCCACTGAAGGTCATATCTTGACCTGAAAAAAATCAAGATCATCTAGTGTATCAGTTAACTTCTGAGGAATAAATCATTCCGGAACTTATGGTTTAAAATAATACCATTTATCATGCTTATGATTCTATGGATCAGATGAGGCTGGTCCAGCTGGACTCTGTCATGTGCAGGCTGACCAGCTGATGGCTCCCATCCTGGGATGGGATGTTTGCGTGATGAGTGCCAGGCCACTTCTCTCTCATGAACAGATTGGTCAGGGCTGGTTCACAGCATGGCAGCAGAGTTTCAAAGGAGCAAGTGGAAGCATACCAAGTTTCCTTGGGCCTAGCTAGGAGGCATCAGCACAAGGCCCAGGCCCAAGCCAGACAGCAGAGGAGAGCAGCTCTAGGGAGGATGGAGATCCCTGGCCATTCCTGTGATCTTCCATATACACTCTTCAAGAAAATTCTTATCATACCTCAAATTTAAGTTAGACACCATCTCCACTTATTTCCCCCTCTATTAATAGTCATACTCTGTCTACAATAGTAGTAGTGCACATAGTAGGAGAAACCAAACTTGCCTTTAAAACAACCTACAATCCTTTCACCAATCAATGGCACTCCCTAACTACTGGTTTTTGTGTTTATATTAATATTTTAAAGGCATAAACAAATAATTTTGATGTAGTTTTTAAAGAAAACGATTAAACATATTTTCTTCTTCCAATTCATCCTCTTTATTCTTTAATCCAATCCCACTGGGGCCAGAGTTGCCTTTCTAAAAGGGTTCTCTAACTACGTTGTGCTTTATGAGGAATCTTTAGGGACTTCTTAATCACATCCTTCAGCTTGCGATGGTATGATCTGGCCTCTGTCTAGTGTTCAAATTTTATTTTCCTCCATTCTCCTTTGAGCACTAATTTGGACAGTTCAACTGAATTCTTGCTGTTTCTTGACCACATTTGCCTGACACTAGTGCTTCTCAATTGTCTGAAGGCATTTTTGGTTACCACAATGGTGTGTGTGTGTGTGCTACTTGCATTTAGTGGGTGGAGACCAGGGTTGCTGCTAAACATCTTACAATGTACAGCATAGCCCCCACAACAGAGAATTATCAGGTCCAAATATCAGCAGCACCAGGGCTGAGAAAACCACCCTACTCATCCCTGTTTCTGATTCATTTCTTCCATTCTGCCTCATCTTATAATGCCTTTCCTTCACTGCTGCATATTGAAATGTCCCCTGTCCTTAAAAAGCCAGCTCAAATGCCAAATGTTCTAAGAAACGGGTCTGGATGACTCACCGCCGGTGCCGTGAGCTTCAGAGTACTTTCTGTACATCACTGAAGTGCCTACCACTTAGCATGTTAATTATAATTTGAGTCTAGTACTATTATTTTAAATTGTTCTTGTCCCCCCTTGGACTTTAGTTGAATGTTAGTGCATTAACTCTTTTGCTGAACTGCTTATTTCTGGATGACAAAGCTCCTATTTTGTCTTTATTCATATTGGAGCACCTATGTACTATGTGCTTTATAGACAGCAGGTGTCTAATAAGTCAAGACCAACAAGTAAGGAACATGTCTTCACGTACCCTTAGATATAGTTATTCTTCCAGCAATTTTCATGAAGACTTAGATTTTAAAAACCAAACAAGTTAAATTAGAGTTTTCTTTCTGTTTTTAATAAATTAGGTAAAAAACTACAATAATTTTTATACAATGCACTTGTGTTTATTTCTGCAGCTGTTTAGTGAAAAAATAAGTGGTGCCGAAGGAACGAAGTTAGATGATGAATTTTTGGACATGGAAAGGGTAAGAGAGCATTTTTTTCATTTGTATTTCTGTTTGGTTGTTTTTTTTCACATTAAATATATATACATTAGTTATAGGTGGACACCATTATTTTATTTTTATGTGGTGCTGAGGCTCGAACCCAGTGCCTCATGCATGCTAGACGAGTGCTCTACCTCTGAGCCATAACCCCAAACCCCTTCCACATTTTTATTGGTATAGTTGTACATAGTAATGGGATTTGTTGTTCTATATTTGTACACACACAATATAACAACATAATTTGGCCACTATTATTCCCCAGCACTTCTTCCCTTCCTCCCCATTTTCCATGCCCTAGACTCTTTCCACTACTGATCTCCCTTTTATTTTTCATGAGATCTTCCCCTCCAACTTCATTTTCCTTTTTCCTCTTTAGCTTCCACATATGAGAGAAAACATATGACCCTTGACCTTCTGAGTTTGGCTTATTTCGCTTACCATAATGCTCTCAAGTTCTATTCATTTTCCTGAAAATGATATATCTTCATTTTTTATGGCTGAATAAAACTCCATGTGTATATATACTGCATTTTCTTTATTTATTCATCCATTGATGGACACCTAGTCTGGTTCCATAGTTTGGTTATTCTGAATTGTGCATAAACATGATTATGGTTATGCATGTATCACTGTAGTATGATGACTTTAATTCTTTAAGATAAATACTGAGGAGTGATATAATATAAGTGATAGTCATTTGGTGGTTCTATTTCTAGTCTTTTGAAGAACTTCCATATTAATTTCTGTCATGGTTTTATTAGGCACATTAGACCAGAGACAATGCGCCTACTTGAAGAAAATGTAGGCCCAAATCTCCATCATGTCTGCTTAGGAACCAACTTCCTCAAGAAGACACCTAAAGCACAAGAAGTAAAATCAAGAATCAATAAATGTGATGGCATCATCCTTAAAAGCTTCTCCACAACAAAGGAAACCATCAAGAATGTGAAGAGATAGCTTACAGAATGGGAGAAAATTTTGCCACCTATATCAGATAGAGCATTAATCTCCAGATATATAAAGTATTCAAAAACTTAACACTATGGGCTGGGATTGTAGCTCAGTGCTGGAGCACTTGCCTTGCACATATGAGGTACTGGGTTTGATCCTCAGCACCACATAAAAAATAAATTAAATAATAAAAGGTATTGCATTCATCTACAACTTAAAATTTTTAAAAAAACCCTTAGCACCCCCTCCCCTAAAAAACCCAACCCAATAAATAAGTGAGCAAAGGAACTGAACAGGCTATTCACAGAAGAAGAAATCCAAATGGTCAACAAATATATGAAAAAATGTTCAACATCTCTAGCAATTAGATTTGCAAATTACAACTACTCTGAGATTCCATCTCACTCCAGTCAGAATGGCAATTATCAAGAATACAAGTAACAATAAATGTTGGCAAGGATGTGGGGAAAAGGTACACTTATGCATTGCTGTTGGGAATGCAAATTGGTGCAACTACTCTGGAAAGCAGTATGGAGATTTCTCAGAAACTGGGAATACAACTACAGTTTGATCCAGCTATCCCACTCCTCGGCTTATGCTCAAAGGATAAAGTCAGCATACTGCAGTGATGCACCACATCAATGATCATAGCAGCTCAATTCACAATAACTAATCTATGGAACCAACCTAGGTGCCCTTCAACAGATGAATGGATAAAGAAAATGTGGTATATATACACAATGGAATATTACTCAGCCATAAATAAAGAAATTATGGCATTTGCCAGTAAATGGATAGAACTGGAGACCATCATGCTATGTGAAATAAGCTAATCCCCAAAAAACAAAGGCCAAATGTTCTTTCTGATATGAGAATGCTAACACACAATAGTGGTGAGGAGGGAAAAATATAAGTTCAGTGGAGTAGACAAAGGGGAATGAAGAGAAGGGGGGAATGGGAATAGGAAAGACAGTAGAATGAACTGGACATAATTTTCCTATGTTCATTGTGTTCATATATGAATACACAACCAGTGTAACTCCACATCATGTACATCCACAAGAATGGGATCCTAATTAGAATAAGTTATACTCAATGTATGTATAATATGACAAAATACACTCTACTATCATATGTATATCTAAGTAGAAGAGTTTTTTAAAAGGAATAAATATAAGTCAGCAAAAAATATAATCCTGAAGGTATTTTTAAAGTTTATTTTTTTAGAGAAAAATAAACTGTGGGACATATGCAAAAATAAAATAAATTAAAAAAAACCCAATCCTACCAACAGTGTAAAAGTGTTCCTTTTCCTCCACATCCTTTCCAGCATTTATTATCCTTTGTATTCTTGATGGCTGCCATTATGACTTGAGTGACATAAAATCTCAACATAGTTTTGATTTGCATTTCCCTAGTTGCTAATGATGTTGAACATTTTTTCATATATTTGTTGGCCGTTTGTATTTCTTCTTTTGAAAAGGGTCTGTTTATCTCATTTTCACATTTATTAGTTGGGCTTTTTGTTGTTAAATTTTTTGAGATCATTATGTATTCTGGATATTAATTCTCTGTTGGAAGAGTAGCTAGCAAAGATTTTCTCCCATTCTATAAGGTTCTCTAAGAGATCGTTTAACAAGTATGAGAAACTGACTTTTGCTGTGATGTAAGATGTGCTTTACAGGATGTTAGAGTGGAACTAGGATGTTTACATGTAGGTATGGATGGTACAATCCAGAAGGCAACACGTTCACACTTCCAAATTCTGGAGGCTCCCTTGAGCCACTTCCAGTCTAGGCAGGCAGAGGAAGGAAATGGGATGTGGCTGATTGGTTCCCTCTAGTGGGCACAAGTCAGAATGCACAAAAGATGGGTCATCTTGCAGGTACTGTGAGTAATGGTCCTGTGTATCATTGAAAATCAAAATCTGTTTCTGGGACAGCACCTTTCAAATATGTATCAACGGATTTGCTGTCATATTTTGTCCCTATATACTGCATCATCTATACAGCAAATAACTTTTGTCCTGGTTTTGCCATTAGAGCTAGCATTATGAACTTGGATAGGCAATTTCATCTTTCCTCAACTGTGTCATGAAAGATGATAATGTTTGTTCTATTTGCCTCATGTGATGTTGCAAGAATTATGCAGAATATTAATGTGTTTGCAATAATTTAGACAAATATGACCAGCTCGGTACAGAAATGATTGTAATGTGATCCAGAGAAGATTGTATAATCTCTATCCCCTAACATGTTTCCTGGTCAGCTATGTAGAGGCTGACCTAGGAGCACTTAGTTTCCTTACCCTTTGTCTTAGGCTCTTTAAACAGTACCCTTATTCTAATAATTAGACTCCCTAGATGAAAGAGGGAGGAGATAAAGGGAAGCTTCTGTCCTCAGGCATAACATAAGGCCAGCCTGTTGCAGGTAGGGGAGATGTCAGCAGGTACTGGGGAAGGAATCTCTTCAGGATACCTTGACCCTGGACAGCCTGTCCTCCAAGGGAGTTCTGGTATTTCTGAATGAGAGATATTAAGTTTCTAGAAATATTAATACCTTGAAGGGAAAAACTTATTTTGGTTTTGATTTTGGGAAAAAAAATTGTAATTTGAGAACCATGGAAACATTTTCACATCATTGAAATACCTGAAAGTACTTTAAGAAATCTCTTGATATACAAAGGTAGTATGGGTAGCCTTGTTACAAACAAGATGATTCAGTTCAAATGTTAAATTTAAAAGCATATTTCAGGAGTTATAGTTGCAGTTGATGGACCAAGATCCCTGTTTATCTCCTTTTCCTTCCAGAAATCCCAACAACTAACAGAATAAATATAAAATCTGTTATCTGTTTTATTTCAACAGTGAAAAACATGAAAATATATAATATGTGACCAGAAATTTTAAAGACTTCCTGAAAGAGATACATTAGATAGCATCAGATCCAGCTAAAACATACAGAAATGACAAAAGTAATGAAAAAAAATACCCCATGAAAAATGCTGACCATACAAAAATAGAGGAGAAATAGTAACATCAAAGGAAAATTTGATGCAAAAAGCATCAATGGAAAAATAGCTTTGCTAAAAAATTAGAAAATGAAGTCAGTGTCAGCGAATGATAATAGTTATAAATCATTTTACACCACATAAGATAGCATCTAAATTTGTAAGGTAAAGCTTTCAGAAATACATAGCAAACTGACAAAAATCAGAGTAGAGGACATCACATACCTCTGTCATAGCATAACAGATTCAATTGGCTCATGCATAAAATATGGTTATTAACTGTGATTATAAATAAATAGAGACATCTGCATTTCCCAAATGGAAAACACATTCTTTTGGAACAATCATGTACAGGGAAAAAAAAAACTCCATAAATTTTCCAAAGTAAAAATCATAGAATGCAAAAATTACATGGAAAGTATAGTTTCCAAATTCTGAATGTTTGGAAATTCATAAACATGTAGAAACAATTTCTAGTTTAAAGAGGAAATGAAAAGTAAAATTACAATTGCTCATGAGTGACAGAATTCTTTGTTCAAGAGCAGTGATATATGGGCAAATCTTAAATGCATTTAATAGAAAAATAAAAGTTGGGGAAAAATGAATGACTCATGCAGTCCAAGAGATAGGAAAATAACAGGAAATCATATCACTCTAGGTAGAAAGTAGAAATAAATATGGTTAAAAAGAGAACTTGATAAAATAAAAAACGGTAACAACAAAGAGACAGAAGCAATAAGGCCAAGAGCTTTTTTTTTTTTTAAAGCCATAAAATGATAAACCAAGTGTGACCAAGAGGAAGAAAAGTAAATTAAAAAAATGACATAATGAAAAAGAAAGAGTATATTACCATTGGTATTTTTTTCCTAACAAACACTTAAATAGCCCTCAGCACCCAGGGCTGCTAAGAGCCCTTTAAGTCAGAGGTGGGCCTGGGAGTTCATGACACCAGCTTTAGGACAAGCTCATGGGCAAGGTGACAACGTTAAATGGAAATTCCAGATTTAACCAACCAACAAACATGCCTTTACACCCCCATAGGCTTTACAAAAATAATATTTACCTCTTTACTTCCTCTATTTTTTCCTGATGGTTTGCCAAGATACTTGCATAGCATTTTGTTAACCTGAACACACACACACACATACACACACACAAACACACACACAGTTATTTGTTTATTCTAAGACAGAGGTTTTGTTTTTGATTCTTTGCTTTTAAACTACATGAGTTGTTTTTTCAGGGTCAACCCTGACTGCCTATATCACGTGTTTGTTGGGCATTCTTTGTTGTTGTTGAGAGTTTATTTGCAGTTTTGATGCCTAGCCTGAGTTGGAAACAGCTCTACTATGCTCATGGCAGGGCCTATAGTCCCTGACAAGTTTTGGGTCTTTTGTTGCTTGATCTTTAAGCACTGTACTAGGCATTTTCATGAATCACGAGTGTTTTCCAGTCTGCTGGGTGAACAGGAAACCTTTTTAAAAATTTTTAATATCTATTTTTTATGTGGTGCTGAGGATCGAACCTAGTGCCTCACACATATGAGGCAAGTGCTCTACCACTGAGCTATAGCCCCAGCCCCCAGTTGCTTGGCCTTTTAAAAAATGATCCAGAAGGATCTAAAGTAGAAATTATTCCCCTGCTAATTCCTCTCATTGTCATCTCTGAAGGCTGCCTCTTATCTTTCTCATGGCTCCTCACATCCAAAGAAGGCTGAATACATCAAAAGGAGTACTCTGAACTGTGTTTTAATTAATATCTAATTGATTAAATTAATAAATCTGCAGCCTAATTTTTCTTAAATTTTAAGCAGAACTTATGAATCTTATTCACAAATTTAGTAATTTTTATATAAAATGATTTTTTCATCTTTAATTTAGGTTTTATTAACATAGGCCATTCACACACAGTGTATGATTATCAGTGATACAAGCTTTGATTCATTTCTTGTCATTTCTGTACTGTCCTTTTATATTTTTATATTTTTCTGGTACTCCAAATTTTAGGCATTGAGCTAAGGGGAACAAATACAATGTCAGGCTGAATGAGACTGCATGATTGAAAGCTTGTGACTGACGAGGTTGTAGTTTTTCAAATTACAAACATAAAACTTTTTCCTATTAGAATTCACTCTGCAGCTCATCACCTTCTTTAGCAATGCATTTTTGGGCATCTCTCCAGAACATGTACATCTTACTTATTTATCTATTTTTCCTTATGACTAAAGAGTGATTTTTATGTGGATGTTTATACAATTTATCATTTATCTAGTGAGTCAACTGTTGATTATAATTTAGATTATTTTAAATTCTTTTTCTTGTGTGGGGCAGTACTGGGGATTGAACTCAGGGGAACTCAATCACTAAGCCACATCCCCAATCCTATTTTGTATTTTATTTAATGAGACAGGTCTCACTGAGTTGCTTAGCACCTCACTTTTGCTGAGGCTGGCTTTGAACTTTCGATCCTCCTGCCTCAGCCTCCCCAATCACTGGGATTACAGGCATGCACCACAGTGCCTGGCTATTTTAAATTCTTAACACTGCATTTTTGTGGGCTTACAAAATTACAAATGCAGCACATAAGATTGGCTTATGTGGAGCTATGGAAATTTGCATATTTAACTGTATTGTATGTCTTCTTATTAGTTCCCTGTTAACTAGCAGTCAGAAAGTTCAGGAATGTTTTTTTCAGAAGAAAAGATTCAATCTTAATCTGACAGGTTGGACTTTGAAGTTAACTTCTTCTGACTGTAGCACAAATAAATAGGTTTAGTTATATCACCGATGATTTATGATTATCTTATTGTTGGTTTCTGAGGTAGTTCTAATATGAGTCATTATTATGGTATCCTTCTTACATAAGCACAGAAATTCAAGTTCACCCAGCAGATGAGGAGAGATTGGCTCATGTCGCATCTTGGTATTGAGAGATCTCCAAGTCTATGAAGTCATTGAATGAAGAGGAATGATTTTCCAAGTTCTGCACTATTACATTAATATTCATTTTAATGTTCAAAAGAAAAAGAAATTAGGCTTCTCTAATGGCATTGGGAGGAAGTGATGGTCCAACATTAAAAACCAAGAAATTGCTACCTCCCTCAAAAGGTTGCAAGCATTCATTTAGATTCAAATAATCATGATTGTGTTAGAAGTACATAATTAATAAAAATTACATCTCTATTTGTTCTTCTGAGAATTATCAAGTCTTCCATTTACTAACATTTCTACTTGTTTTGTCTTCTTTTAAGAAAATAGATGTTACCAATAAAGCTGTTGCAGAAATTCTTTCAAAAACCACTGAATATCTTCAGCCAAATCCAGGTAATGTTAGAAATTATTGAAATATTCTATTATTTATTGGTTGTCATGGATGCTACGATCCCCTATTTACTTGACATTTGGTTGACATGATCTAGAAACAATGTCCACTAGGTCCAAATAATGCTATTCAGTTTTTAAAAGTTGAATCTTACAGGCATAGTGGTTCATGCCTGTAATCCCAGTGCCTCAGGAGGCAGGAGGATCTCAAACTTGAAGCTAGCCTGGGCAACTTAGCAAGAAAGACCCCAACTGAAAATAAATAAAAATAAAATAAAAAAGGCTTGGGATGTAGCTCAGTGGTAGAGCACTACTGGGTTCAATTCCTAGTACTAAAAAACAAAACAAAACAAAAAATAACAACAAAAAAACTCCAATGACCAAAATAGTGAATAGTGGCAATGGAGAGTGGACAGTTGGTGAGAAGCAAAGCACATACCTCTATGGACTTTGGGTTGGTATCATCTGATGGAGTGTTGCTCTTAGCAATAAGGCATGCTAAGCAAAGACATTTATTAAATGCTTCAGAAATCCACTAAACATTTTATAAGTGTTTTCTTATCTATTTCCTTTTAAAATAAAAAAAACGACTCTCATCCTGTTCTAAAGGATCATGTTCTTCCATCATGTATGTTAATTTGAAAGGACTTCACATTATGGCTAAAATACTAAAGAGATGAGGTGTGATAAACATGAAAAATACAGAAAAGCCACCAGTCACATCTTTGATGCAGAGGCCCCTATGCAGCATCCAGTGATGTGGTTTTCCTAAGAAACCAAGAGAGGGCGCCCAAGCCTTGAGTCTGTGGATTTCCCAAGCTGCCTTTCCTTTGTAGGGATTTATTATTTGCATGTAGTATCTGCGATTCCTTTGGCTGTGGGAATTGGCACAGAGATAACTTTCTGAAAATCTAGAAAGTGAAAATTTAAGAAAATAAATTGTATCATGTATCTAGGGAAGACAGCAAGTGTAAAAATTGCTTTAAAATTGTTTTGATGATAGTAGCTTTAAAAACCATAGTAATGTATCTTCTCCATGGCCTCATCAATGATTGAAATGATGAGTTCCCTTTGCTGTATATCAGCCTATAAATGTTTAATAATTGTCCCCTCTGTGCTAGAGGCTTTCTGGGGTGCTGGAATACACTGTCAGAGACTCCATCGTCAAGGAACTGACATGGGAAGAGGGTAGGGAGGCATTGGCTAGCAATCAAAGTGTCCACTGGCCAGTGATCTCTGATCATTCCTGAAGAAGAGTACGGGAGCCCTTCCAGCTTCTAAAGTAGTCTAATGCCCTTCACTGAGTACACACCACATCCACTCTGACAGTGGGAACAAGGGCTGAATGCGTGTGTGTGTGTGTGTGTGTGTTTGTTGGGGCGGGGGGAAGGGAGTGAAGCGTTTGGGCCTGAGGACCCAGAGGATAAGTGCTTTGAGGCTGAGACACAAGGCTTAAAAGGATGCCACTGCGAGTGTTTAAATCCTTGCTACTCAAAGAGTGGTCCATGGACCAGCATGATCTATGTACCCTAAAAGATTGCTGGAAACAGCATCTCAGGCTCACCCCAGATCTACTGAATCAGACTATGTTTTAACAAGATCCCCGGGTTATTTGAATATATATTGAAGTTTGAGAAGCACTGTCTAGATTATGTTAAAAATAAGTATCTCAAATACTATAAGCTAGTTTGTGTTTTACTCTCTTGCCTATAGAATGGAATTCCAAATTCTTTACTTGATGTTAAACTGGTAGTCCCATTTACTCCATAGTGACCTCTCATTTTTGCACTGTATTAATCTCTTCTTGGGTCAAACCAGCCAACTCCTTGTCCATTAATTATACCATAATCGGTGTACCCTCTTCCATGCTTTGCCGATACTACTTTCTGCACATTTTAGGGGATTATTTTAGCCTTTCTCTAGCGCATTGTCATCTTTTACTTTCCCTGCACCACCCCAAACTTTATTTTCATAATTACAATGCTTAAATGCTGCCTCCCAATAACCAGGTGTGAGCTCCTTGAGGAGAGGTCATAAGCACAATGTTGCACAGGACCAAAAATCAGTAAATACACATTGCCTATGTCAGAGGAAAGAAAAGAAAGTAAGAAGCAGTGACTGCCCATCACCTCCTTAGGGATGGAAGCTGAACTGTAGCTGGGGGACCATCAATGAAGGCCATTCACTATGGCAGGGATCTGTCTTCTCCTATTGGTTCTGCCTCTTGAGCATGTGCGGCCAACCTTCCTTGCCGTCATCTGTTTGAACCAATTATTGGAAGTGGTTAGATGAGGATGTTAATGATCAATTGGTAGTTTGAAACACCCACCTTAGCAATTTTGTCCTTAATTTGTGTTTGGTCCCTAGAAAAAAAATGGTCCGCATAGGTGTTGGTGTCTGGCTTCAATTTGTTGATAATTTCAAGCATTCCAAAGTTCAACACTCTGGGTAATGCTTAGTATAGCCACACTTTCTTTTTATTTGGAGACAACAATATGTGCCATAATTTCTGTATTCCACCATGGCTTTGCAACAGTGTGCTTAGCACCCACCTTGATAGAGTCTAGAAAGTCATGTGAGAAAATGAAATAGGTCACGCAATTGCATGCTTCAGGTCTCTGACATTTTGTCTAAAACAACCTTGATTCTGGCAGCTATTTGCTAAATGCTGTTCCTGTCATTCCACCTTGTAACGTTAAGGAATTACAAATGACAATGTTTTTAAGCATACAGAGCTAAGCTAGGAATGCTGAACACTGTGTCGAAGATCCGAGGGCAGGTGAAGACCACTGGATACCCACAAACAGAAGGCTTGCTAGGGGACTGCATGCTGAAGTATGGGAAGGAACTCGGGGAAGACTCCACCTTTGGTGAGTATTTACAGCTCTCCTAACAGAGCTGAGGATGAATACCTCCTGTGTTAGTTGTAAGTTGTGCACAAGACTTTCAACTCAACAGTTTTACAATTTTTTCATATTATCAAAGTAATGCATACTCACTCCAGGGGGTTTAGGGGAAAAAAAAGGAAAATGCTAACATCACCTATGATTTCCACTGATAGGCCCAGTTAAACTCTTTTGCTGTGTATCCTTTATACCTTTTGTTTATTCTTAGGTATATTCACATATAACTTTAAAAATAAAACTGGATTACAATATATATATATATATATACATCTTTTATAACTTGTTTTTTCCCACTATACTATGATCCATGCTTTAACAATCTTCTGCAACATTTTTTAATTCTTATTTTTTATTCTTTTTAGGTATACATCACAATAGAGTGTATTTTGACAATATTGTTTTTTTAAAGGCAGCATAATATTTCAAGTATCATACTTCAACCAGCTACATTTTACATTTACTAGATATAGTAAACTAGATGAGCCCTTATTATAGACCAAATTTTTATTTTCTAAGTTTGTTTCTTGTCTTTCCCTTATGTTTCTTGATCTGTATCTTCTTTTGATTCAGTGTCTCATTGTTGTAAGTACTGTAGTTTTTTTTAAGAGAGAGAGAGAGAGAGAGAGAGAGAGAGAATTTCAATATTTATTTTTCAGTTTTCAGCTGACACAACAACTTTGTTTGTATGTGGTGCTGAGGATCGAACCGGGCCGCACACATGCCAGGCGAGCGCGCTACCACTTGAGCAACATCCCCAGCCCTAGTACTGTAGTTTTAAAAATATTTTTAAATTGTATTTTACTAAAATTTCCCCTTGTTATTTTTCTTCATGTAAAAAATCTTTATATAGCATTTATAATAATCTTTTTTTCATTGACAGATCTTTAGGGATACCCCAAATCATGTTTCTTGACATTTTTTTAGAGGAAATTCTTAGTAATGAAATTGCTGGCTCAAGAATAGGACTGTGTTTTGGGTTTTGGAAGCGTATTCTTAGTGACCCACCAAAAGGGCTGTGCCAGTTTGATGATCCTGCCTGGAGTATATGAGAGTGTTCCCCAACACAGTTTCTAAATTTAAGATTTGTGTTTTTAGTTTACTTTTACGTAACTTATAATTTGATGTATGGCATATAAAAATGATATCTTGGTGCTGTTTTTCTTTACTTTTAGAGATAATGGTAAGGCAGAATTGTATTCATGTTTATCATTGTTTTCATGAATGTGTATTTATGTCCTTTGCCTATTCTTCCATTAAGTTTTTTTTTTCCTTTATTGGTCTTTGAGCTAATGTCGGATAGTTGCTCTTTGCCTGCCTTACATGATGATAAAGTTTTGTCCTAGGTAGACATTTACCTTCTGACTTTGTATATAGAGGTCATTTTCAATTTAATTTAATTTGATTTTTGCATTACAAGGGATTAAACCAAGGAGTGCTCTACCTCTGAGTTATATCCACATCTCTTTATTTTTTATTTTGAGACAAGGTCTTACTAAGTTGCCCAGGCTGACCTCGAACTTGTGATCCTCCTGGCCTCAGCTTCCCAAGTAGCTAGGGAAACAGGCATGTGCCATTTTACCTGGCTCGAGGTCATTTTAGTGGAAGAAAGATTTTTATTTTTCTTTTAGTGGAGCTTATTAGTCTTCCTTTATGTTTTCAAGCTTCGCCATTATGTTTGGAAAATCTTTTACATCCCTACCCCCTGAGAATTATATAAATGTTTATTTGTACTATTTTTGATACATATACTTCCTTTTCTTAATTTTGTTTTTCCTAAGCTCCTGAGTTTATTGGAGATATGGTGCAATAGGATTCTAATTTTGTTTTCTAACAAATAAATAGCTGGTTGTCTCAGTGCTTTATTAGGAAGTTCAACTTTCTCTGCTGATTTGAAGATGACCCTTTATTGTAGGCTGATTTTTTTATTTTTAACATTTGATTCTATCCTTTCTCTTCAGTTTCTCCATCTGAGTCCTGTTTTGATGCACAGTGTCATAATGTTTTAAGTATTGTAGTTTTAAAGTATTTTAAAATATACTTTACTGAAATCTCTAATTATTTAATCACAAAAACCACATGGACACACTTGTCAGTTCTGTTTATTCAGATGAAGCTTAAGTCGTTTTAAATCTCCTTTATTAAAAATGAGAGTTCATTACATTTTGATTGAGATGGCTTTAAATTAATACATTAAATTGAGGCTGAATTGAATTAAATATATTAAGTCTTCTGGGAGAATCTGGCATGGTCGCTATTCATGTGGTGCTAACAGAGCAGGGTATTGAAGTTGAGAGATCAAGTATTTGGCCATGGTAATAATTCTAGGAAATCAGAAAAAAATCTTTTGGGGAAAAAAAATTTCTAGTGTTAAAGCATTTAATTGGTGACAGAGGGTAGCACTATCCTTCAGGATAGTAAAATGTGATTCTTACTTTTTTTTAAGGGTTGGTGGCAACAGGATGTTTTTCTTACCAGGAAGGTCCATTAGTGGAGAGAATATGTGGGGCTGCCTAGCAGACCCTGAGATCCAAGGACATTCCTGCTGTGCACCTGGCCACTGTGTCTGGGCTGTGACAGCCAGACAATTTGGTAGCTTCCCAAGTGTCCAGCCACTTGAAGAAACTTGGATTAAGGGAGAGAACTGATGTCAGCATGGTATCAGGGACAGATGGACCTTTCCTGTTCTGAGGGAGAAGCTATGCTGATGGATGCTTTCTTCTTGGGGCCACATGCTAGAATCTAGAGTGCAGAGACCTCAATGGGTGGAGGCTCTGCCCCTCATCCTTATGGAATTCAACAGATCTAATCTTGTGCAGAAAGAGGGAATTCTAGGGAGGTGATGGCCAATATTCAGAATATAATCTTTGGAGTCTTCAGAGAAACATATTTGAGAATGTTTCTGTTATAACTAAATAAACTAGCCTAGTGAGGTATGGGCCCTTGTAGAAGGGAAGGCAGAGGGGTCAGAAGCATTACCCTCCAATTGATTTTGGCTACTAACTGGGCAAGAAAGAGCCTCTAGGCTAGGCAAGCACTTCCTGTCTCCATTTAAGAAAGATTTAGAAGCAAACTCTGGAGAGTTGTGTTCAGGAAATTTGACCTCCTAGGAGCAATGAAGCTCCCAGTGGGTCAAAATGGAGTTCCGGCCAGCTTTAATTTAAAGTGATGATTTCCACTTTTTTTTGGCAATGTCCTGTCTCATACATTTCCTTTTTTTAAAAAGTGAGATGAGACAGATCTTGCTATTTCTGTCTACTGGTAAATAAATTGTCTATGCCCTTGACTGGAAGGTGAAACAACTCAGAGGTCAGACTTGGGGTGGACCTTCAGGTCTTCAAGTGAAGGAATTGAGAGAACCCAAACTTCATCTTTTTTAAGATCAACTTGGAAAACCCCCATGTATAGGAAAAATTGTTCGTTCTAGTGCAGAATTTCCCAGGGACATCTTCTAGAGAACATGCAACCACATTGTGCACAACACCCAGGACACCTGTTTTGCAGGGATCTTGCAAATTACATTAGATTAACTGGGTCAAGATACTGGAGCATAATCCAGCAAAAACTGCCTGTCACTACCCAAGTCCCACAAGGCTGGCCCAGGCCTCCTTGCAAGAGCAGACTGACACCTGCTGACAGGATGTCACACCTGCAGCTCAGGATGACCTTAGAGAAGATTGGAAGCTTTAAAAAGAATTCTTATGCTGGGAAGAAGTTTACAGCAGAATGACTAAGATTTCTACATTTAGCAGTAATACATATTAGCCTAAGGTAGCTTATATATTTTTCTCTGGGAACTGAATTACTTGTTAAACATTATGCATATCATATGGGGTAAAAATGGGAGTTCATAATCCACTTGAATCAAATGTATGAAATATGATATGTCAAGAGTTTTGTAATGTTTTGAACAACTAATAATAAAAAAAACATTATGCATATCCAAAAGCTATATGGTTTTGTGAAATGAGTCTGATTTCTCCATTCAGACTTTGGCTTGGTTTGTTCTTCTCTTAAAACAAAACAAAACAAAACAAAAAACACCCAAAATCACCTACAGGGATGCAAGGATTCGGGGAGTGGCTCCAAGAAGATCCCACAGCTAGAAGCTGAGAAGAGGCTTTGTTCATTTCTATTGTAATCATTATTGGTTAATACTTAGCCCCTGATGAGTGAATCCTTTCATTGTTTACAAAGAGAGATTTCATTCCTGAGCTTCTAAGGAACCTTTGGTGCCAGTTTCCAGAAGTACTAGTTTTTAAAAGGAGCTTTATCTCCACCTAGTGGTCAAAATGGTAAGTGCTTTGGTCTGTCAACTTTTTATTTCATGTGGTGGTTAAAGTGCAGAAGGTAGAGAAGAAAATGTAGAAAACAGAACGTCTTTTATTTTTTCCTTTCTTATTTCTTATGAGTCAGGATCCAAAGGTCCCAGAGTGAGGGCATTATTATACTATCATCCACAAACCTTTCAGAAATAATTTATTAAATATCACTGTTAACCTAGAGAATTCTCCTCAAGAACCTTTTTTGTTTGTATTTTCTATCCAAGGGAATGCATTGATAGAAGTTGGTGAATCCATGAAACTCATGGCTGAAGTGAAAGACTCTCTTGATATTAATGTAAAGCAAACTTTTATTGATCCACTTCAATTACTACAAGACAAAGATTTAAAAGAGATTGGGGTAAGTTTTCCATGCTGTAAGTATACTTGTTTATATTTATGTAATTATAAAATGGTATATATATTTAAAAATCATTAGAAGGTTTATGTAGGGACTCAGCAAAATCATCATCTTATTTTGGGTACTGAAAAATAACTGTTACATTTTTCTGGGCTCACTGTGAAACAGTGCCAGGATCAATTAGGATCAGTTAGTCATGTCTGCCATGGGGATGGGGGCATGATGATTGGTGTGGATGCAAGCTATAATTCTCCAGCTTTACAATTCTGTGTCTCATAGAAGCCAGCTAGAAGCCAGGCTAAATATTCATATATTTCTGTAGCCATTTCTCACATAACAAAATGACTCCATTGTAAAAATCATATCAGATTGCATTTTTAATATATTTTCTTAGTTGTCAATGGACTTTATTTATTTATATGCAGTGCTGAGAATCAAACCCAGTGCCTCACACGAGCTTAGCAAGTGCTCTATCACTGAGCCACAAACCTAGCCCTTATATTACATTTTTTGATCCATCATAAATGGGAAAAATGAACCCCCATGGATCCAGCTTGTGTGGTAGAGATTGGGCTAGGGAAATGGGAGCTTGTCTTGCCTTCCCTGCTTGCACAGTGACCCTGAGGTATTTCTGCATCCCAGGATCAGAGAAGGAACTGATGATGTCTGTTTGTTGGTTCATTCATCCAACAATTGTGTATGGGGCCTGTTGTGTTCTGTCACTGTGGTGGGCACTGGCTGTATGTTGCTAAGCCAGTCCAGGTACATACTATTGTGAAGCTCACAGATATAGGGTAGAGAGACAGCTAACAGTTATAATACACTGTGATGGGTGCTGTTGGAGAGACAAGCCCAGGAATGCCAAGGGGAAGGCATCTCCCTCAGCTTGGCTAGGTCAGGGAAGGCCTCCTGGAAGGGGAGAAACTGGCCAGCCATACTCAGGTGGGCAGAACCTCCAGCAAAAGCTGGCCAAAGGCCCAGGCCCATAAAAGCAGAAGACCTATGTGTAGGTGCGATGGCCAGGGCATAGGGTGCCTCTGGGACTGGGGAGATGTGGAAGAAAGGAAGGCTTAGAAAGTCCTGGATATCTGAATAGGCATCAGTGTATTTTGAAGGTAAAGGATATGGGGGGTGGTGCATGAAATCCTCAAAGGTTAAATGAAAAATGAAAGCTGCCATTCAGGAACTCCTGAAACACCCACTCCCTACCGGGATGCTCCTTTGCCCCCTTATGTACCATCCTCTCCTTCCATCTTAGGGAAAGCATGTCTGTGTTGCTGTCTCAGGCCAGTAATGTTGAAACACATCAACACAGCAGTTCTTGACTCTGGGCTTCACAGTTCGTCCCTTCAGTCCATTCTCCATGCCATGGCTAGAGCAATCTTCCTAAGATACCAGTCCTGATAGCTTCCTACTGACCTCGGAATAAAGATCCAATAACGTGGCCCTGGCTCCTGCTTCCCTCTGTGGCCTTATTGCTCTTCCTTTCCCAGTTGAACTCTCTGCCCAGCCTCACTGAATTGCAAGAAGCTCCCAGGCAACATTCTGCTTTGTACTCTCTATTTGTTGTCTTTCTCCTTCCTAAGCCATCTCAGATCTCAGATGATATTTTCCTCTGGGAAGTTCTTTGTACTCTGTCCATACACAGTGAGGTATGCTTCTATACTCCCTGTGCCATGAGCATCATTGCTTGGCTATGTCTGTAGTTGGGCAGTAAGTTCTTTGGGGTAAGGAATCAGCTCTCTTCACTGCTGGACCCTCAAGGCTTCCACATGGATTGGGCTCACAAATTGTTATTGAATGGATGATTCCAGGGAAGAAGTGATATTCTGGGTTGTGGAGATACCGAAACTTCTTTTCCAAATGCAGAGCCTTAAAACTAGATACCTCCTGTTTTAGTCAGCTTTTTTTTTTTTTTTTTTTGGCAGTTGTCGGGGAGCTCTTGGTTTCAGAGGTCTCAGTCCATAGACAGCACCATTCTTCAAGGCTGGAGGTGGGGGCAGAAGAGTGTGACGGAGGGAAGGACTCACATGATGATCAGAAAGCAGAAATAGAGAGACTCCATTCTCCAGATACAAAATATATACCCCAAAGGCACGCCCCCAATGACCCAAGTCCTCCAGCCACACCCTACCAACCTTTAGTTACCACCCATTTAATCCCTATTAGGGGATTAATTCACTGATTGGGATAAGGCTCTCATAACACAATCATTTCACTTCTAAAAATTCTTGCATTGTCTGACACATGAGCTTTTGGGGGACACTTAATATCTAAACCTCCTTTGCTAAATCAGAACAAATTCATTTCTTCTTGTTCTATTGCTCCCAAGGAAGGCCACACAGAAAGTCAACTGTATAACATTGCACTTTTGACAGCCTGGTCTGTAGGGTTGCTAGCCATGGATTGGACCCTGTGTAGTAAGTGGAACAAAATAATTTCCTTAGAGGCATCTTGTTACTCAGCTGCTGTTTGATATAGAATTTGTATCAATTTAAACTGAAATTATTAGATGATTAATTGTTAAGAATTAGGAGACCTTTCGTAGTCTCAACTCTGCTCTATATCATAGAAATCAAGGTTCAAGAACCTGTTCATTTATTGTATGACTAACTTACAGCTGTACATATGAAGATGGAAAGGGATTTAGGGTCTTGCTGGAAGTAGCAGATCATGCAAGAAGGATGCTTCTGCCCTTCAGTCTTATCAGCCCTTCTCACCTCATTGTTATGAAAACAAAACCAGAGCCTCCCAAATGAAAAGTGCAAGTTACCCATATGCCTGAGGGAATCTCAGTTTTCAAATATACTTTAGATATCAAATATCTGTTTTTCAAGGTTTATAGTCATACTTTCTGAGAGACCCCTCCATTTCCCTGAACAGTCATCTGCTCTACACTGTTTTGTGTTTTGATACTGGGGAATGAATTCAAGGGGCACTTGACCATGGAGCCCAGCCCTGTTTTGTATTTTATTTAGAGACAGGGTCTCACTGAGTTGCTTAGTGCCTTGCTGTTGCTAAGGCTGGCTTTGAACTGGAGATCCTCCTGCACCTCTGGGATTAAAGATGTGCCCCACTGCACTTGGCTCCATACTATTTTTTACCTGTGATCCCCTGCTTGAACACAGATTGTGATGGGGCACTTACTACCACAGCTCTAATAAGCCTCATGGCTGCAGCTCATTAAAAGGATTATAGTATCATTTAGAAATCTCTCCATTTCAGAGGTTACCTTTTTATGCAACTTATTCAGTAATTGTTTGGAAAAATTACAGAAGATTCATAAATATTCTGGGAGATACTAGAAATGTGTGTTTTTATATTCTTAGTGTAGTTGACAACAGAAATGCCCTTATTTTTTGTATAGTTAATTCAGTTAGAAGTTAATCTTGATGTTAGTAGAGCTGAAGTGAGGGGACTGAGTAGAGATACTGCATCTTCATGTCCCAGACAGACACACATTTGTCTTATCACCTGTCCATCCCTTCCTTTATTTGTTCTGCCGACATTCCTGAGGGCTTGTAAAGCAGGCAGTCTCCAGCAGGGGCTGAAGTGCACACAGCAGAAGTACAGGGACAGGTTCCTGCCCTCTGGAATTTAGGCTGAGAAAAAGTAGTGACTATTTGCTTAGAAATAATGAAGTGTTTTTTGTTTTGTTTTTTAATGGGGGGAATGCCACTTTGTGCATGTAACAGTCCTCTGAGGTTTTCCTTTCCTCCTCCTACTTTTCTCTCTCTCTTTCCCCCTCTCTCTTTAGCACCACCTGAAAAAATTGGAAGGCCGCCGCCTGGATTACGATTATAAAAAGAAACGAGTAGGTAAGATACCAGATGAAGAAGTCAGACAAGCAGTAGAAAAATTTGAAGAGTCAAAGGAGTTGGCTGAAAGAAGCATGTTTAATTTTTTAGAAAATGATGTAAGTATTTAAGTCAAACAAGAGACCTTAATGTAAATGAATAAAACACTGATCAGCATGTTGAAAACCTCTAAAGTCTGAGTTGATATGGAAGTTTTTAAAATGTTCAGTAGTCATTATTTCCAGCCTCAAAGATAGGGTCAGACATCCAGCAAGCCCTAACTCAGGTCTGGAATCTTGGGAAGCCCTATTTATCCAAGAGATATTTTGAGTGGGCCCCAGGGAGGTAGACTTGTCTCAGAAGATGGCAAAGTAAACTGGCCTTTGTGTTTGAGGCCACATTTGTGGTTTCACAGGAGAATAGAAAGCCCAGATCATAGATCAGTTTGCAGTTCTTAAGACTGAACAGCACTGTAGGAGCCAAATGTTTGAGGATGAGGGCCTTTCTCCCCCTGCAGCTCTCTGAGGCCTTTACTCATCAGAGTGAACATTTGGTACTCAAAAGCATGACCTGCGTTTTTTTAGCTGCTCCATAGTGGTGCTTGTAAAACTGGGGACTGAAGGTCTTAGATCATAGCACCTAGAAATGCCAATCTTCTCTTGTACCGGTCCTGGCATTAACTAACCAGCTTTTATTTGATTTTTCCAAGTGACATCGAATGAAATGGGGATGAGTAATTCCCCATGGCAAGCCGAGGGCTTCCCTTATTTGCTTTGGTTATGAGGAATCACTTGGCATTTTTACTGCCTGATTGGAAAAGGCCACAGCCACCTGCCTTCTGCTTGAGTCCCTGACTCAGGTCTTAAATCAGCCTAGCCTCAGTGAAACCATGAGCTGTCTTGGCCAGCATTAGCTTTGGACTCATTTGTTAAACTTTCAAACCTGTGACAAGTCAGGGGATTTATTTATCCTCAAAAACATATCATACTTCTAGCCACTTGTTAAAAAGTACACCAAGGTCTTTCATCTTCTGAATCAGTTCAAAAAAAATGTAAGAAGCACTTTCTAGTCCATGGTGATGTGTGGAGGAATTATATCCAGTATTGACAATTCACTAAATCCCAGAAGACTAATTTTCCCAAATGGAGAAATCGGTTTGAAATTTCTCATGCCCATTAAACCATTGAGAATTGAAAAGTACACTCTATTATGTTTCTTGTTTTAATTTTTTTTGTTTTTACATTTTATGGGAAATAGGAGGAGGTGTAACACTTTGCTGTCTCTTTGTTTATTTTGCTTAAATATATAAATTTCTTCTTGAAATTGTCCCCAAGCAACAGGCATTTTTGTTTTGTTTCAGATTGCCATATTTAATTTGTTTGAAGTATTTAGAAAATCTTTTTGAGGTATGACAGATACTCCTTATGGGGCCATAACAAATGACTTGCCAGCTTGGGGCCCATTAGCAGTAGATTTACGGGTTGAGGGTTGTATCTTGCATGTCACACATGCTGCCTAATCCATGTGCTCCACTCATGACCTTTGTGCATGAACCTCCATAATTGTTTTTGCAAAGTTCTCCATGAGTAAAGCCTGTCTCAGCAGCTTTGGCCTTGACAGTTAACCCAAGAGACCTCAGTGTTCCCCTCAGTATCAGTGAAAAGTCAAAAAATGATCCCTCCATTATAAAAACAGTTATTTGTCCATTCTTTGACAGTGACAAGTATTCAGCTTGTCACAGATGGGTTAACCCATCCCACCCTGCCCTGGCAGAAATAGTAGCTAGTCCTTAACCCAAGCTCCATAGTATCAAGTGTTCTCCATTGTGGCCTCAGTATTTCCCTAGGGAATTTCTGCAGTGAATGGTGGTACCCCTGTTCAATTCTGGGGAACTGGGGTTTCCTTCCCCCTTATTTCAGCTCCTGAGGTCCATACTACCAGAAAGCCTGCTGTAACTGGCATCAGGGATGACCTACTATCTCTGCTTTTTTGACAAAGGCCGTGAAAACCAGCAATTGAGGTGAGAGGAGACCAAAGCAATGAGACTGAAGGGCTGTCCAGACTGCTTTGGCACTGGGCTCCTTCCCTTTCTCTTTCCTCCTTTCCTCATGTCAACCACAGTGGGTTATCCTGTGCCCTGTGGTTGCTAATTCTAACCATAATGATGATGGTGTGATGATACTAGGGACAAGAGCTGCCATTTGCTAAGCACCCCATGTCAGAGATCCTCAGGGTACACTGGTAACAGTCCCCTATTATGGCATACTTGCTTTGACCTTTATGCCTCTTGGTTTATAGCTGAAGGGACTCACAAGTTATATATAGGTCCCAGAAGGCCATCTTTGTTCTCTTTTGGGGGTTAGAACCAGAAGGGTCTTTCTCATGTCCAGCTGATCTGGCTGTTTCTCTCCTCTTACCAGGAAAGGTACAGAAAATCTCCTTCAGTTTACTCCTTGTATCTGATGTGCTAATGCTGACATTGCCTGGTGGTTAGGGGACAAACTATGGATGTGATCTGTTGGGGGAAAGGAAAAGTACTAATATATGGTGGGGTAGGGCATGCATTGAACCTTCGGCCCTGTCTTTACCCCCACTGGCTAAGGCCAGTGGTTCTGCAGCCTGTGGGACTCTGGCCTCTTGCTCCCTCTTCATCGCCAACCTCACATCCAGCCTTTGTCACTCAAGTCTCTTTAACCATGTCTGCTTCCTTTCATGGTGGGAAGCTGTGCTTCTGGAAGGCTGGATTTTCTCCTAGGAAATGATCTTGGCACTAACTAAAGTTGCCAAGGACCTGTCTAATTATCAGGCTAAATATAGGAGATCGCAAGTCCTGCCAGTGTCTGATGGGTTCAAAGGTGACTCCACCTAACATAGAACCTGCTGGAGATAGGTGCACAGACTCTGTCAAAAAAACATGCCTCAGGAGGAACAGAGTGGCAGGCTGCATAGGCCTATCTTTTAGACACAGATGGGAGATGCTTATATTATTAGGGGTTAGAGATTTGGGGATATCCATCATAGTATTCACCATTTTGAGTTCTGATTTATTGAGAATTAGACACATCTTAATTGATGAAAATACCAATAATTAATAAAATGCAGACTTGCTGGTTACCTGTGTTGGAGGATATGGCATGACCCCAAAGTCCCAAAGAAGCACATTCTACTCTTTGTGTCCTCAGTTGATGGAAGCCAGCCACCCTGACCCTCATTCAGACACAATCTGAGATGCTGAAACTGGGCAAGTAGCCCTCACTGGGCCTCTGGCCATGTGGAGCCTGTTTTTGAGGCAGAGCAAGCCATCCTGCTAATGAGAGAATACTCCCCAATCTAATCCATAGGGGGAGGAGAAAAGAAAGGCTGGAAAGAGGGCTTAGAAGTATTTATTCCAAAGAAAGTAAATAAGCCAAGTACATAGTGTGAAGGGAAACCACTTGAGATGGTGTGCTTGGTGCTACCTGCCCATGTTTATCTGGCACTAGAAATTCAAAGGCTCAAATCTCATTCCAGGGAGCAGCCAGTGCCTTTCTTCTTCAACCCTCGTGTCTTAACAATCCTGGCTAAGAAATAACAAAAGCTTCACCAGAGAATGCCTAAAAAAAATTGCTTGCCAGATCTCTGCCTGATGTGGGAAGAGCTCTGACTGTAATTAATAGACTTGGTCTTTCCTGGGCCACCAAATGCAGATCTTCCTAGGACTTTCTGGCTAACAGGCCATTTGTCAGGAATTCCAGGGTGTGGTCACTTCTCTGTCCTCACATGTGCATTCTCCCAACTGAGGAATGGGAGCCAAACAAGGATTACATACCAGCCCCCTACTCAGAGAATAAGGCTTTCTGAAAAGCCTTGTTGGAAGAAGCAACTTGGGCCTGGACCAATGGATGTCCAGCTAGCTAGACCTCGGAACCACCCACAGGAGAACAAGTTGCACAGAGCAGAAAGCCAGATGACACATGATATCTTGGCATCTTCACCAACCCACTTTCTTAAAGAATACAGAACCCAGAGCCAGGGCCCTACTGCCTTTTAGTGCAGTGTCCAAAAGTCTGGTTAGCAGGGCCAAGCAGATGCCAGGCTTCCAGGCTCAATAGTATCATTTCTCTACCTTTGCTGTAGAAAGGAGGGGATAGTGCAGAGACCTGAAGTGTTCATTCCAATGTTTCTAAGCAAAAGTTCTATCTATTTTCTTATCTAATTTTTTTTGCCAGAATTGGGAATGGGAAAATGAAGAAGAGTATCCTTTGGTTCCTTATTGCAGCCACTGAGTAAGAACTGGATAAGAAACCTTGAGCATCATTTCACTTCTGGTTTGAGACCATATAGCTTCACTGTTCTATAGGTGGTGATACAAGCTAGGGGGTGTTTTGATCCTTTGGCTTTCAAGTGCCAGGCCTATGACTGAATCCTTTTGCTGTTCCAGGCTTGGCAGGGTCCCCTGAGATGCCTAGAGTAGCTGTCCCCGCAGAGAAGGGCCATTATGCCTGCCACCACTGATTTTTGGGGTTGTAGGGAAATCAGCAAGGTGACTCTGAGCCTTCATTGCATTTCTTGGGAATGATGAATCCCCCAAGGGCTTGTTAACACACTCTCTCCTCTTCTGTTTTTGCAAAGAATTTTATTCCTTACAAGTTGACATTATCAAATGTAGATCCTTGACCTTAAGCAGAAACTGGAGATATTGTATAGATGTCTACTTCAGCCCAGTGAAGCCAGAGCCCTGCACTATCCACTAACTGTTTTGGTACAAATCCCCTGGAGCTGGGGGTCCTTCATCCATGGGTTCCCAACAACAATAGATTCTTAGGTTCTTTTCACTGGTCTAGAGTAGCATTTTCCCAAATTAATTCCATGAGCTGTTAGCATGTTGCATTAATACTCTCTCTTTTATGGTTAAATAAATTTGAGAAACCTTGGGTTAAAAGAACTAAACAACAGTTTTTAATCCCAAGACTTTCTAGACTGTATAGGATAATATGAAAGATTAATCTCTGAGCAACATCGAAGAGAGGATATTATTGGCAATTTGCCAAGCTTATTTGACTAGAACTGCACTGCATTATTATAGTTATTGACATTTCAGGAGTGGAATAAGATGCATCAGGAAGTACTGGGCCAGCAGAAAGTATACCTAGCAAAAAAGTAAGAGACCTGGTTCTGGTTCTGGCTTTATCTCTACTTGTGCATATGCCCTGGGAAAGTTGCTTTCACTTGACAGATATCAAGCAACTGAGCAACTGCATTTGAGAAGTTCTTTTGAAGTATAAAGTGGAGAATGAAAATATATTATTAATTTAATTGCCTTACTCAAGCTTTGTTCAGAAACTCTGAATAAAGACTTTGAATCCATTGAAAAAGACACCTATTATGACCAGACCGCAAAATTCACAAGAAAATTTCTTTTGGCTTCTCTGACAAATCCAAAAAGAGATGAAGTGTGTGATATGATAGAGCAAGGAAAATGAAGATGACTTCCATGGGAAGTATGTCATTTCATTTGTGAGAGAAGATGGCTTAATCTGCATAACTTTCCTATGTACATAAATGAATACACCACAATGAATCCCACCATTGTGTACATCCACAAGACTGGGGCAATAATTAGAATGAGATATATTCCATCCATGTATAATTTTATCAAAATGGACTATATTGTCATGCATAACTAAAAATAACCAATAAAAAAGAAGAAGAGGGCTTGTTACCTCCTAAAGATGTGCATTTCTTTTCTCATTCTTGCTGAGCACACTGGGGATTCCAGGCACCTGGGTAGAGCATCACCCATTCACATCATGGTTCTCTGTGTTGTCACCATAGCCTTCAGAGGATGCCTCTCTCTGCCTTGGCTGTCAACCAGTCTGAAGAGGAGGGGTCACATCCTTTTCTTCTTTAACCTCAGATTCCATGTTACTTTTTTAGAGAATTGACTTAGAAGGCCCTACTCTGGGCTGTAGTCCTTGGAGCCCTTCTTCTTTGGGGTAAGCCCAAGCCCTTTGAAGTTGGTCCACAAGACCAGACAATGGTTCCGATACCACCCAAGTGTCCCTAAGGTTTCCATTGCTAGTAACACTAGGAATGTTTAGTACTTTTGATCCACTGTAGTTGGAGACATCTCTGACCTGCCTCCATCTCCAGGGTCAGGTAATTCCAACAGCCTCATACACTGGTCAGCAATTGGCTTGCAGCTTGAGAGAGAATTAAATCCATCCATAAGTGGTACATTAATTGATACGCTATGTGCATGGGAGAGAAATGAAGTCCATCTCACCCATCTGGAAAGAGAGTGAGGTGCCATGGGGTAAAGCTGAAGCATCAGTGAAGTCCCCAGGCCCAGCCACAGAAGACTCATTACCTAGTGAATTTGGTCAACAGCACTTCCAAACCCTCCCCCACCCCAAACAGGGGACCCTGACCTGCACTAATCCCATTGTTAGCATTTTGTTAGTTTGGGAATAGGCCAAAGCTGCTCTGTATTAGGATCACAGACATGACGACTTAAAGGACCACAAATTTCTTATCTTATATCTTGGAGGTTGTAAGTCCTATGATCAACGTTTTGGTAAGGCTGCCTTCCTTCTGGAGGTTCCAGAAAGGAATCTATTTCCTTTCTTTTCCCAGCTATTAGAGACTATCTGCATTTCTTGGCTCCTTGATTTATTTTCTCCATCTTCAGAGCTAGCATCAGCCTGGACATGGTGGCACATACCTGTAATCCCAGCTATTTGGGAGGTTGAGGCAGAAGGATGGGAACTACCAGGCCAGCCTAGACAACTAGCAATACCCTGCCTCAAAATAAAAACAAATAAGAAAGGCTGGGGATCTAGCTCAGTGGGATAGAGTACCCCTGGGTTCAACCCCCAATACATGCAAAATAAATAAATCAACAAATAAATAAAAGCAGAGTATCTTTAAATCTCTTGTTCTGACCTCTGCTCTTATTGTCATGTCTTCTGCTATGACTCTAACCCTCTTATGTACCTCTTAATCTTGTAATTATACCCCAATAATTCAAGATATTCTCCCCATCTCAAGATGCTTAATTTAATTATATCTGCAAAGTTCCATTGGCTATGCAAACTTATTCATAAATTTGGGGAATTAGGTCTGGGACTTCTTGTGGGACATTATTCTGTCACAAATTCCCTCTGGTTTTATGGTTCCATGAATCTCCCAGGTATCTTTGCGGTCCTCACTCCATGCATTTGTCAGCCACCACTGCCTGTGCCTGGCCTGTGCCTCCTTGATTTCTAGCCTAATAGTGAAGTCTGTTTGCATTGTGAGTTTTTCAAAGTAGGCATCTGAACAATGTTCGGACAGCTGTTTCTCGGGTAATTGTGTTCCTTTGAATGTCAGGTAAACTTTTCCATATGGTGAGGTCACATTTTGTTCTTGAGGTCCCAGCCTGTAAATGGAATTAAGCGTCCATATACCTGAGGCAGATCCAAATTGAGTAGTGTGGCCACTGGAGGAAATGTTTAACTTTCTACCTAAGTTTTTGTTCTTGGATGGCCTGGGTTTATTGCTCTATCTTGTTTTTTCTTGTTCAGGTATTTAATTCTGATTGCAGCTTTGGGAATCAGAGTCTACCTGTGCTGGTTCCTAGCTCAGTTTGATGTTCATGGTCTGGAAGACAATGAAATGGAAGCTTCCATTTTCTGACAGTTATAGAAGGATAATCCACTTGTGGCATTGCATGTCTTGCACTTAGCACGTACTATGTGCAGACACTGAGTAGCACTGCTGTTACCTCTCAAGCATTAAAGGGCTCTGACATTCACTGTCTTCCCAAAGTCAGCCTCAAATGCATTTCTTGATTATATAATCATGCATTTTAGCCACTTCAGAGAGAATAGCTGGTAATTTGCAGACCCCGCCCTTTACCAACCCTACATATGTTTCAAGGAATATTCATTTAGCTTTTCTACTCTTCCTTTAAAAATTCTAAAACACCAAACATATTTCAAAGTGGGGCATACATTAGGACATATTAATTTTACTAACGACAGAGAGGTGTGACACAGATTTTTACCAAACATACAACTTGAGCACTCTAAGGAAGAAAAATTCTTTTGTAGCAAATTCTGCCATGATCCTGTTAGGCCATGGTGCCGGACTTATTCAAAAGTATGTGAAAAAGCCAAAGAGATGAAATTTAAGAAATCCTTAGGATTTCGCTGGGGCCAGGCTGTCTTTGTTTTGTTTATTGGGTTTTTAGAAATTTAAGGCTAGGCTTGCTGCTTTTCCAGCCACAGAGCATGGCAAAGTGAATGTAACACCAGGGGATATCCTTATTCAAATGCCAATCACATTTTGGCACAAGTAGAATTCCATGTGTACCTTTTTCTTTTCTTTTCTTTTTTTTTTTTGGACTAGGGATTGGACTCAGGGATGCTCTCTGCCACTGAGCTGCATCCCTTGCTCTTCTTATTTTGCATTTTAAGACAGTGTCTTACTAAATGCTGATGCTGACCTCTAACTTGAGATCCTTCTGCCTCAGCCTCCCAAGTTGCTGAGATTACAGGTGTGTGCTATCATATCTAGATGTATTCCATATATATCTTAAATGCACATTGAGCCCATGTTTAAAGTGGTATAAATGGTTTAAGAAAATTTACAGAGTAGGCAGCAAAAGAATAGTCTGCATCAACACATGGAAACACCTTGGATCTTTGAAAACATGCAAGTCCATGACTGTTTACATGGGGTGAGAATGTATGAATGAATAAGCAGGCAGATTTTTCCCCAAAGCTGGTTAGAAAGTGATATATGTGAATGATGCTTGAGTTTTGGGGAAAATGCGGTAGAGCAATGTTGATTTGTGACTCTGTCTAGATTTGGAGTTCATGGATTTATGCTGGGAGATATCACCTCAGCCTTCTGGGACTTGCCTCTGAGGCTTCCTGAAATAAGTTTTATTAATCTTTACTTCTTAAAGCAGTTCCTTAACCTTGTTGGGTAGCAGGAAAGCTCTTGGGCCCTCTCAATATTGCTCTTCCCTCAAATTACACACCTCCAGGTCTTCTGGACTTTGCTCACAAGACAAAGCTTTGTTTGTTTGCTTGTTTAAGCATCCATTGTAAGTTGGCCACTAACTTGTGTTGATTTGTGGGAAAGAGATACGCCAGAATCTTTGTAGTTCATTATTTTCCACTGTATGTTTCAGGGAAAATATTTTCTGCTGGTAGCAATAAAAAACACAGGGGGATTCTTTGCCCTGCAGCACATGTTGCTTTTGGGCACTCCTTTCTTATCTGAGAACAGCTTAATTTACTTACTTTCTGGGGTTTGCTTAGCTAGAAAGTGCCCATAGAGACATTCACAAGGTTTCTTTACTAGGTGTTGGCTTCACTTACCATTGGAAAAGCTTCCTTCCTCCATTTTCAGATTGGTGAACTATAAGCATAAAAATGTCCATAGAATATCAACACCTAATTGGAAAAGAAAGCATATTATTGAATTACATCAAATTCATAATCACAAATAAATGTGAACATGTTTTTCCAGCATCTACATCTCTATACCACGGCCTGTATGGTTATTATGCAGGGCTCCAAGATGGAATGAAATGAAATGGACCAGAGCCAAGGCAGACATTGGGCTTCCCCGCAAAGCTGGGTCTTTGTTGCTGGGCACCTCTCTCTGGACATTACATGGGCTCTGGCCTCCATGGAGTAATTTTGCACTTCTGCTGCAGGTAGAGCAAGTCAGCCAGTTGGCCGTGTTTATAGAGGCAGCTTTAGACTATCACAAACAGTCCACAGAGATTCTGCAGGAGCTGCAGAGCAAGCTACAGATGCGGTAAGGTCCTTTACCTTTCTTATAGCCAGGGGCTGCAGAGTTAAGTCAATTGAAATCAGTCTCTGTCTCTTTATCTCCCCTTCCCTCTGCCCCATTCTATGCTGAAATTTCTTTAGTTGGCTTTCATGGTTAGGCATGGATGGGACAGAAAACTAATATGTGACTTTGGACAATTAGTCAGAACTGGGAAAAGAGATCTGATAGCTTTTCTCCTTTTTCTTTTCATTAAAGCCCCCTTTCTCTCTGCTGTGTTTAGGGCAATCAAACAAAGGGCTCCCTTGCCCACCTTGGAGGTTGACCCTTGCAGAGCTGTCTGCTTCCTTGCCAACTTGCTGAACTTTGCTCTCCACTTATAAGCTGGCAGTAGCCATGGTGTATACTCTCTTCCCAACACCTAGGGGCATGCAGAGAAGAGTGGGATGATTCAGAAAATATGTCAATATCCATACAAAAGATATATTTATACTTCACTAGTACAAATACCAGGCTGAGCTGGGCTTGGTGGTGCACACCTATAATCCCATTGGCTTGGAAGGCTGAGGAAGGAGGATCTTGAGTTCAAAGCCAGCCTCAGCAAAAGTGAGGCACTGTGAAACTCAGTGAGACCCTGTCTCTAAATAAAATACAAAATAGGGCTGGGGATGTGGCTCAGTGGTCAAGTGGCCCTGAATTCAATCCCTGGTACCAAAAATACAAAAAACAAAAACAAACAAACAAACAAAAAAAACCAGACTGAATTCATAAGATTGACATGAAAAGCAATTTCAGCATATTCTGAAAGATGAAAGAAATATTGAGATTTGTGCCTTATGGTTTTAATGATTGACATAGTCTATGTATTTTTGAAAATTAGTAATAACATCTATAATATGCACAGCAATCCCACTAATTAAAATGTTGGGCTAAAAATACCATTAATACCCTATATTTTGAACAATCTTTGATAACATAAAATTGCTTTACACAGCATTTATGGCAATGGCAACAACAAATCTGGAGAGATTTTCTCTCAATTCAATGCCCTGATTCTAGAAGGATCAAACTTGTGTCCAGTCCCTGAAGCATCCACTAGATAGTCATTTAGCTCTTATAAGAGGATATTTTCACAATTCTCTAACAGAGGGGAATGAAGAAGGCAGCTAGTGTGGTTGAGGGGCCACTTGCTAAATGCCTCTGGGACTTTATGAGGCTAAATGGTCTTCAAGATGAATTTCACTGAGAAGCTCACATAGATAGTTGGAAAACTGCATTTAGGATGTGACTTCTGTCCCTTAGGGCTATTAAGGAATCAGTGTGTAAAATCCGTCACCTCCCTGGTCACTCTTGTAACCTAGGTTTGCATACTCATCAGGGCTGAGTAAAGGTGTGTTTGAAAGCTCTGCTATCTTTATCAGATGCCTGACTCAGATTCCAATGTGTGTTACAGAATTATGGCTGCATCCAATATCCCTAAAAGAGAATATAAGCCAAGACCTGTGAAAAGGAGTACTAGTGAGTTCAATGGGGTTTCCACCACTTCTGCAGCAAAGTCGGCAGGTACGTTAACCTCTCTCAATGAATGAAGTGTGCCCTTTATTAAGGCTTCTTCTAGAAACATTGATCTGCTTCTTGTTGTGAGATCTATCCATGCAAAACCCCTAACATCCTGAATTCCTTTGCTGATTTGGTGAAATTCTTTCCCCCAACAATGTCCCTTTTTCCTATTTCAAATACTCATCCGATTTTGAAAATGAACACCAGGAAGAATTCCATCACTTTACTAAAGCCTCCTTATATGGCAATTAGATAAACCCTTGATCTTAGGACCCTTGTTGCTACATTATCCTTTCATTTTTAACTTTCAAAGTATTTTACTAATTTTTAAAGTTTTTTATTGTTGAGCACTTGGTATATGCTGGGCTCTGTCTTAAGTGCTGCATTGTTCATTTTTAATGACAATGACACATAATTATAATCTTGAGTAAATCGATCAAACTGAGGGGAAAAAATTCAGATGGTATAAAAATTCTGTTGTCTCTTGTGATTGCCCATTCGAACCCAATCTCCTCCTTAGATGTAGCCATTGTTAACCGTTTGGTATGAATACTCTCATATGTATTTATGTACATATACATACACACACAGTTTTAAGATTTTTTTCTGTTTTATAAATGCAAGATCAGCTTAGGCATATTGTTATACAGTTTGCTTTTTAAAATATTACTATTTATTGGAGTTATTTTCATACCTTGCATATAGATCTATCACTTTTTAATGAGTTCATAGTTTTTTATTATACATACACTATATCCCTATTAATTAACCTAGGTTTTTTAAAATTTGCTAATATGAATACCTTTTATCTGCCTCCAAATTCTGGTAAGCAAGTCTTTCTAGGAAATGAAATTGATGATTTAGGCTCATTGCTGAGTTATGCACATTTTAAGTGATAGTAGATAATTGCCTAAATTACCTACATGACCTTTACTACTCGAATACCTGCTTCCTAATGCCCCCATAATTACACTTCCATTTCTTCTGAGCACTCAAGAATTAAAAAATGGCATTCAACTTTAGCTTGTCTTTCCATAATTACAAGTGAGATTGAATATTTTTTCTCTAATTCGTCATTTGTATTTCCTTATGTCTGAATTACTTTTTTTTAGGTAGTTTTTTTTAGGTAGTTTATGTTAGTGATTTGTATGGATTCTTTAATACTTACAATTTTTTCCACTTTGTCACTTATCTTTAGACCTTGTTTATGAAGTGTTTTATCTATTTATTGGTTTTGTTGCTGTGATTTGCTTTGTTCAGTTCTTTTCAGTATACAGAAGCTCTATTTTGATGTAGTCAAATTTATTAATATTTTTACTTATGATTTTTGCATTTTGTGTATACTTATGATTTTTGCATTTTATGCCATTGAGAAAAGTCTTTCTGACACCAAAGTTATTCTGCTGTAGTTTTCTTTGACTTAAAATCTCCTCTAGATACTTAAATGCTAATAATTTGGATTTTATTTTTGTAAATTAAAATAAACTGCTAAACTATCAGAATGGCTGTGTGAGTTTGTATTCCCACCAGCCATGTATGAGTGATCCGGTTTCTTCACATACACGCCAGCATTTGGGGTTGTCACCATTTTTAATTGTAGTTCCTTTGACTAATGATGTTGAACATTTCTTCATTCACTTATTTACCATTTGAAGGTCCCCTTTGGTGAAATTTCTTCTTATATCTTTGCCCGTTTTCTACTTAGATTATTTGTATTTTTACTGTTGAGTGTTGAGAATTCTCTCTATATTCTAAATATTGTGGTTTTTTTGTTATGAAAGTGGTTTGCAACTATATTCCCTCACTCTGTGGCTTACATTTTATTATCTTAACAGGGTTTCACAGATCAAAAGTTTTTAATTTGGATGAAATCCAAGTTATCCGTTTCTCCTGCTATTTGTTCTTGATATGAAACTAAGAATTCTTTGCCTTGCTTAGTATAAGAGCTTCTCTTATATGTTTTTTCTCAAATTCATGATCTATTTTGAGGTACGATTTGTGTGTAAGATGTGGCTTGAGGTTCATTTATTCTGTTGTTGGGTGTCTGGTGTTCTTCCATAGCACACCCAATCCAGAAAAGCATGAGTCTGAATTTTCTTCCACCACTATCACTCCCTTTAAAGTTCCATTTTTTTTTTTTTTTTTGGTGAAAAATAACAATTCTCAGGGGTTGGGGCTGTGGCTCAGTGGTGGAGTGCTTGCCTTGCATGTGTGAGGCACTAGGTTCGATCCTCAGCACCACATAAAAATAAGTGAAGATACTCTGTGTTCATCTACAACTAAATAAAAAAATAACAATTCTCAGAATAATATGTACATATAGTTTTTAAAATAAAATGGTACCACAAAGCTTCTATTTATGAAAATCAGTAGTCTCCCTCTCTACTCCTCTGCCAAGGCTTATTTCCTACTCTCAGAGGAAACCACTTTCAACTCTCCACTGTTTGGTATTTAACTCCATTGTTCTAAACAAAATGTTATTTGCTGATTTTTCAGTTTTGGGTCACAAATAATGATTTCCTACTAAAGAAGATAAGCATTCAACTTGCTCTCCTTTGGTCTCCCATATACACCCCCTCTTCCAGCTTACTTAAAATCACCATCCTTGTCAAATAAATACTTATTACATAATGATCATTTTCATCATGCAGAAGTATTAAAATCTATCCCTCTTGTTTCCCCTGCTGTTATTTTACTTTCAGTTGCCGCTATCTCTGAATGAAAACCTGGGCAGGCTCCAGGACTTTTCTGATTACATCTAGATCACAGGAGTTCTCCAGTCACTTACTTCACTGTAAAAGTGAAAGTTTGCACAGTGGCCCAGTTGCTAAGACCTGTGTAGTAACCAAAGTTAAAATCTCCAATATACTATTTCAGTGGCAAGCTAGATATCAGGGCAGGGATGGTATTGGGCTTCTTTGTTTCATCTACCCCTTGTGTTCTTGAAGCTCTAGAGAACTTCATGCTCTTTGAGGGCACTTTTAAATAAATCTCCCTCCTACCCTAACCTCTCTCTTTCTCTCGGAAGAACATGCAACTTCCAGCTCCTCCCTGCTCTTTCCATAACTTCTCTGAAATTTTTTTCTAATCTCTGTTACCTGATCTGGCTGTGCCACAGGTGTGAGTTAGGGTTAAGAGTAATAAAAATGTTTCCCCCATCACTTCTGTTTGTTTCAAGTTCTACAGGGTGATCTTCTGCACACCAAGCTTTAAAAACAGTTCTGAAGCCTCAGCCCAAACCTCCATTTTTATATTCTGTAACAATGACTACAATGCCATGTGCATAAAAATAACATGCACAGCAGCATTGCTGAGGGACTAGGGCTCTACTTTCATTCTTATTCGACTTCCTGCTTCTTGCTTGTCATAGCTTTCTAAGTCTTGACATCTGGTCCTGTTAATCCTCTAACTTTGGTCTTCTTTTTCAGTCAAATCTGGGTTGGCTATTCTAGTTCCTTTGCAATTTTTTTGAGAATTTTAAGATCATCTTTTCAATTTTTTTAAAGCACATTTGAATTTTGATTTATATTGGGTTGACTCTCTGATCCCTTAAGAAAGAATCAGCAGTTTAACAATATTGAATGTTCCAATCTTGAACACTTTGGCCTTTATTATTTCATCGCTTCTGCTTGCTTTGAGTTTAATTTGCTCTTTTTCTGTTCCAGGATACCACCTAACATTTAGTAGTTTGTCACATTAGGCCCCTCTTGGCTGTGACAATTTCTAAGACTTTCTTGGTTTTAAATGAGCTTGACCATTTGGGAGAGTACTATTCAGGGATTTTGAGGTTGATTTAGTATTATTAATGGTCTGAATGAGGTTGTGAGTCTGGGTTCCTCACCACAGTGTATCAGGCTGTCTAGGTGACTGAGCACTGTGGATGCCCATCTGGATCAGCTGGTTAAGGATGCCCATCTGGATCAGCTGGCTAAGGATGCCCATCTGGATCGGCTGGCTAAAGCTTCTTCTTTTCTTCTCTAAGGAAAGGTTTTAAATTACAGATGTGATATTTTAAAAAATAGATACAGGGATATCAATGTTACCAGGTTCTTGAGAGAGTTTGTCTCTTTCAAGGAATTTGTCCATAAACCTAAGTTGTCAGTTAGGCATAAAGTTCTTCCAGTTATTCTCTTATTATCCTTTTAAGATATGCAGAATTTGTGGGGGTGTCACCTCTCTCATCCATTGCTGATACTGGTTATTGGTAGTTTCTTTCCTTTTTTTCTTAATCATCTCATTTTGGCTATGAATTTGTTAATTTTCCATTTTTTTGTCAGTGTTTTTTCTCTCATGTTTACTATATTCCGTTTTATTTGGTTCCACTTTGATCTTTATTATTTCATTGCTTCTGCTTACTTTGGGTTTAATTTACTCTTTTTCTAGTTTCTTATGATAGACACTAAGGTCTTTGAGTCTGTTCTTCTTTTCTAATAACCGTATGTGTTTACTGCTATCAATTCCCCTCTGAGTACTACTTTAGTTGTATTTCATAGATTCAGATATGTTGTAGTTTTATTTTCATTCTCTTCGAAACCCTTTCTAATTTTATTTTTCAAAGTCTCTTTAACCTATGATTTCTTTTGAAGTATTTCATTTCCACATATGTGGTCTTTTTCAGATATCCTTCTGTTTGAGACTTCAGATAAACTCTATTTTGTTCAAATAGCATACTTTGTATGAATTGTACCCTTTAAATTGTTTTGCTTTATGACCCAGAATATGATTCGTCTTGGTAAATGTCCTGTGTGCACTTGAAAAGGTGTGTATTCTATTTTCTTTGGTGGAGTGTTCTATAAATGTCAGTTAGATCAAGTTCTTAGTGTTGTTCAATTCTTTTATATCTTCTGATTTGTTGCGGTCTGTTTTTTCCTATTAATTTTTGGGTAAAAAGAGTATTGAAATCTCTAATGGTAGTGCTGGACCCATCCATGTTTCCTGGCAATTGAATCAAATATGGGAAGACTGGTTACATTCCCTTCTCCTTCCTCCTTCTTGTTGACCCT